TTCACACTCATATTTTCTACGACGATCTTCATCATATACATACCTCAATATTATTTATATAATTTTAGAATATTAATACTGATTAGCACATACAACAAACATATTCGAAAAGTAGTTACAAGTAAAAAGTGGATTAAAGTAGAATTTACCCCTAAACCGTCCTATTTGTCATTCCCATTCCCTACACTGTACGTAATAACTAGATGATATTATAGTGTGGACACTATACATGCATATGCTCATAATGTAGTAGTAGTATTTAGAAAAGTATATCAAGTGTTTAATTTGAAAGAAAAATAAAGATGCACTACTGCAGATTTAATGGAAGTTTTTAATTTTTCTTAAATAAAAATCCACCTATTTCAGAGCCATCTTCTTTCTAATGGGTATATTTGCAATAAAAATTTGCAGGCTTTAAAACCACATCATGCAAACAATAATTAAAATCTAGCATGGAGAGTAATGAAAGAACCAAAACCACATAGATTTTATAGGGATGGTCCTATGAAATATGAAATTAACTACGGAATTTGTATGTAATTTCTAGCTAATTCATCGCCAAAAGGCTCCTACCTAATTGAATTTTCTTAATATCCACCGTTAAATAATAGCTAGATGGGATTAGCATATGAGGTCTTTGTATGTTTGTTTACCGTCGCTAATTTCTTGTTTTCTAGTCGTTGGTCTGGCTCATGCTTGATGAAGTGTACTCTTCCGTAGATAGATAAACTCCCTTTGTCTCATTTTAACCGTCACTTTAGTTCTTTTCACGTCCATTAAGAAAAATAATATATATTAGATATAATTTACGAAGTTACCTCTATTTATATTAGGTGCTTTCGATAAATGAACAATATTAAAAAGAGCTATTTCCTTAATGTTAAGGGTATAATTTGATAATTGTCTTAAGTTTTTTTTTTTTTTTTTTTAAATGATAATTGTCTTAAGTTTGAAGTTCTAATATATCAATTATTTTGAAATAACTTTTTTGAGGTAAATAATTAGCGGCGTACAATTCAAACAAGATTTCAAATGAGACGAATGAGTATTATATATTAAACAGAGAGAACGAAAGAACTATACGTTAATTTCATACTTGACTTAAAGTTTAGTTTCATACTTTTATTTCATGTTGTCTCAAATTTTCGGTTATTCTGCAATGTGTCAATGTTTATTTTTGAGCAAAGAATGCAACTTATCAACTCATGTGCAAGGTTAATTTTGTTTGTCACCTTGTTTTTTTAGTGATTTTCAATGATTTTTTGTCAAATCTTAACGGTTAAACCAATAACCGAACCGATAATGATTAATAATCAATAAATCAATAACCTATACGTCAATATATTAACGGTTTAGTAGGGGTGTACAAAACCGAACCGAAAACCGAATCAAACCGCAAACCGAGTCAACCCGGAAAAAAAAACCCGACTAGTGGTTTGGTTTTGAAAAAAAAAACCCGACTATATTTGGGTTGGTTTGGTTTTAACTAAAAAAAAAATAACCCGAGACCAAACTAACCGACATTATATATATAATTTTAAAATTTTATTTTATACATAAAAATATTTACTTTGATATAATTTTTAAATATTTCTTATACTTTTTCATAGTTTTTATCTTTTAATATATTATTTCAAGCTTGAAACTTAGAATTATGAATGGGCCAATAAAGATTATAGTCTACAGATGTTGGTAATTATAATAAAGCTTAAATCAAAATCAAATTAATACTAATGCAAAAAGAAAATCAATTCAACACTAAGAATGACAATAATATTGAATATTTGTTCTTTAGTTTTACATTGGTTTAGACAATTAAAATACATAATCTAATTTTAATTTCCTTTAATATTTAGTCATGTAACTAATACTTATTAAATTTAATTTTAGCATGATTTAGTACTTTTAAATTATGATCATTTTCATTATAACTTTGTTAATTTGCAATATTTTTTTACGCGATTTCATTATTATTATTTTTGTTGGATATTTTAGTGTCATTAATCATATCATATTGTGTTATATTTTTAAGAAACATCTTAAATAATTGTATTTTGGTAGGACTAAAGAAATATTTGAAGTACTAGTAAATTATATGTTTGTATGAATACTTTACCGGAAAAACCCGAAACAACCCGAAAAATTGAAAAATCCGAAAAAACCCGAGGTTGAAAAACCCGAGTTTTATTGGTTTGGTTTGGTTTATAAATTTAAAAATCCGACACAAATGGTTTGGTTTGATATTTGAAAAACCCGAACCAACCCGGCCATGTACACCCCTATGGTTTAGCATGACTACAAACTGATAAATGTTGAATATATTATTGTTTGGAGACGGGCACTATCAATTTCTCACAACTTGAATTTTATTATATCAAAGTAAGAACTTGCTTCGGTCTTACAATCTTGCTCACTCACTTGTTGCTTGCTTCAGTAACACTCTTTACTTAGCACTCATTCTTGTTTTCTTGCTTACTTTCTTGGTTTGTTACTTACTTAGTTGCATACAACTCAAATGGACCACCTCTATCTATAGAAGGTGATGGAACAATCTAGCTAAGCATATTTTTCTACTCTATTCTAGAATATTCCTCCAACTACTTAATTCTAGAACTATCCTATCTAGAACATTTCTAGACTATTTTCTCTAGAATACTCATTCTAGAGATCTTCCTTCAACTCTTTATAACTCTAGAATATTCTAAATTTTTCTTGACTTATCTTAAGTAAATAATTAAGTTGGTGATGAATTCTTAACAATAAATACCCAAGAAAAATTGTAATTGCTCAACAATCAGATTGTATTCCTCCATTTTCGATTCTGTTTTTAGTGGTTTAGTGAAGAAAATCTATGAGGGAGAAGGAATAGAGAGAGAGAATGGGGAGATGATGAAGGAAGAGAGAATATGGTGATGCCTTGAAGGTGATGGAGTATTTGGGGGTGGAAGGGGAGAGATAGTTAGCATAGGAGTTTTGAGGGAGGGTTGATGAGAGAGAAATATATTGATTGTTATTAGACTATTAATTATGGTATTTAAATGTAAAGATAATTAATCAATCCTAATTTTACGGGATGTGTTTATTTGATTGTATCTTTTAAAATATATGGTATACAATATTAAAAATGATAATAGATGTAATTGTTTGAAACTAGAGGTAAAATTAATATATAATGATGTGCGTCTAGTTAGACAGTTTTAAAAATAATAATTGAACCATACAATCTGATTTGATATACAACATGTGAATTCTATATATCAAAAGTATACAATGTATATATTTATTAGAGATCTTATAATTATCACTATTTTTTTCAATAGAGATATACAATGCAATATCTTGGCCTTCGGTCATAATTTCCTTTCCAAAATGTCCCAACTATCAATTTATTACTCCAATTAGACATTCGGCTCTTTCACCTTCAACAAACAATCATGGATAGATGCATTTCACTATTTTCCAAGTGAAATATATGTTCTTCTCATTTCTCCCATTTTAAAAATTCATATGGACAAAACAAAATCATCAAGCAGAATTGCAATGGAAAATCTATCAAGTTTTGAAGCTTAAATTTTAAAATTTGACTTACAACAATATGAATCGATTGAAGTGTAAAAAGACTCAAAACATTGAGTGAAACTCATATTTAGTTTTGAAACTGTTTAGAAGAAATTTGAGCTAAAAAGTAACTCGTTAAAAAGAATAGACTACTGCACAATGTATATGTATTTTTGGTGGATGGTAGAGTAGGTAAGAATTTTTGGGCCTCACGGGCACCCAGCGTGAATAACGACACTCAACTCAAATTCGGCCCGACAAAAAGAAAGAAGGAAACCTCAAATCTGAATATAAAGGATATATGTGATGTGAGTTGAAACCCTAGAATGACAACTCCGGCAAATTGGTAATGGGGAAGTGGAGAAACAACACTTGCTAAAAGAAGTTCATCAGTGATCCTCTCTTCTTTTGGAGTTTTTTTAGCAAGAGTTGTTTTCCCTCTTCTCAATTCCGTCTCTCTCTCTCTCGCAGTCTCAGTACAATTCAGGCCACAACGGTCTTCGATCTGCAGAGTTTTGGGTCTTCTGTTTGCTTAGTTAAGAGTTATGTCTTTATTTGGCGGTTGATATTTGTACATCGAACTTCATTTCTTTCTGTCTTTTTTGATATTTTTATTACTATTTCGTTTGTAGGCTACTAGTAGCAGGCATGACTCTCATATGTCCTAGCAATGAATGAGTGACTTGAATCCTTTTCTGCTGCACCTTAATTTAGGAGTGTGCTTCTAATCAAGGTTTGTTATTTTAGTGGTGATTTGGATCTTCTCAATAACTAGCATAGAGTCCAGATCCAGAATTAAGTTGTCAAAACTGCTCTTCACAACGCTAGGATTAGATTTGATCCATTGCACGATTGAGGGTGCATAGGAGGCTAGACCAAGGTAGAAAAAAAAGTTAGGCTTCAACTGGCAATATGTGTTTACTTATGCATGAACATGGTGAAATAGATGTGATGATCTCCACTAAACATGCCCTTACAAGTATAGTAATAACTACTCTTAACGTGTAAGAAAAAGTAAAATAATAACTATACCTAGACTTAGACAGAAGAGTGGCTAAATTAGCCCATGAAAACATAATCCGTTCATTTATTAACTCAACTCATTTTGATCTACCCAATTCAATCCATTAAAAGTTGGGGGTGATTTGTACATAAGTGGCCTAGATGCCATGAGAATTTTTTTGGTTTGATATGTTATATATAAGCTTTATATAAAGTATTTCATGAGTGGAAATTAACCGTCGAGAGATAGAACTTTGACAGATATTCGGATTGAAATCAACAGAAAACTGCTTATTTGTAAATAAAATTATACGTAATAATTAGGGAAAACAATGGCTTCCCTAGTCTTATTAAAGGTATTTAGCATCCATACTTGAGATAGTAAGTCATTACTGATTCAAGATATGATCATAATAATGAAGACAATGTGTGTTTTAATTTTAAGCCTTTGCTTCAATAGCAGAAGGCGTGGTCAATGGGCTAAAACCATGTCGAAGGCTTGCTTTCCATACTTTGTCAATATCAAACATCTTGTTACCACATTCATGCTCATTCCAACCTTCCAATGCATGCAAAATCCCGGCTATTCTCCATGCACTCATCACCCTTCTTGGTAGCCAGTTCTGGAATCATAAACAAAATTAGTCATGAATGTCCTAAGGACTTGTACCATACACAGATAATCAAATGATTTTTCTAACCTCACAAGAGTCTACATTTTCAAGATGTTTTGGGATATTCATGGCTGGTGTGTTGAAATAGAAGCAATCCTTGCGAACTTTCCTTGGTGGAAATTGTGAAAAAGGAATGAATAATGTTCCTTTTGGTGCTTTCAATTGTTCATCTTCACTCAATCCGTCCCCTACTAGCCATATCTGCAATATAATATATATACTTTAATCAAGAAGTATTATTTTCTCGGTTGTTCTTGTGAGGATATATATATATATATATATATATGCAGGGGAGGGGTATGGTTTATACTTTATACCTTTGATGCATAAGATTTTGAAGGGACCAAATTAGTAGCAACCTCAGGATTAAGTAATGATTTTAGTCTCTTGTACTCTTCTCCATCTATCATAACCTGTATATAAAAATTTCAATGAAAAAAGAGACGGAGAAATGAAAATCATTGTGGAGATCAATATATAGTCAAATATACCTGAGTTCCTCCTTGGCACAAGGCTAGGGCAATAGAGTAAGCAACTTTGGAGAAACGGCCTCTAAGTACCACTTGGGAAGTTCCTTTAGGAATGGAGTTTAACACTACAGCGACGGCTAAACTACTACCATCCACCACCTTCACTTTCAACTTAGGATGCCTCCTTATGTAAAGTTCACCATTCTTATTCACCTGCTTTTCCTGCTACAACATTACATTTGTGTATAATTGTTATTTGAGGCATTATTTGATTTTGTATAGTTTTACTTACCTGATTTAGGAGTCCAAGGCTCAAAACTTTTACGCCTTTCTGATCCGCTTCCATAATTGCTTCCTCAATCAAATTGTTAATAGTATCTCTTTGCCATTGCATAAAGTACTGAACAAAATAAAATAATTAGGCCAATTGATCTCTTTAACAATATGTATAACTCAGACCTAACAATAAGTTCTTACTTGCATACTATATTTTGGGATAGCCCAAGTTTGTATTTTGAGATTCCTGAACAAATTTCTCTCAACAACAAATGTGTGACCATAAATCCAAGTAATAAAAAATGACCATAGGGTGACGGGTGACATCAACCAAAAATACCACTTGGAAGTGTGAGGCTTTGAGGCCAAGGATGCAAATCCTAGTCGAAGATGGTAAATGGATTCTGGGGTTGTTAGATGTGTTAGGTGCACCACATCAGGCAATTCAGCTTTCCTCTCAAGTGACTTTTCATACAACGTATCTGAGGACTTATCCACTGTACCATACAGATAGTCATACATTGGCATAAAAAGTGAATAATTTGATCTAAATTGAGTGTGATGTAGTGAGTGGAACCTGTGCCATCAAAGAACTAATATTAGTGGTAAAGAATAAAGCAGATTGTTCACAAATAAAAAATCTTCAGGATTACTTGTCTGCCTAGTCAGTCCATTAACATACCCAATGAAATTCCACAAAGTAGGGTCTAGAGAAGGTAGATGCTGCTATATATAAATAAAAATTGAAAAACAGGGTTGAAAAGACTCACGAAGGCGTATATATCAAGTACTTGAGAGGGGGAAAGATAGAGAACGTCCACTTTGGAATTAGCTCAAAGTTGCAATGGCCCATGAGGTTCATGAAATCAAGATAGATGGCATAAGCAACAATTGAAGCTATAGAAGCAGTCCCAGTGAATATTGTTGTGGATAATGGAATAAAAAAGAGCGTTAAGTATGTTACAATCTCAGCAAATGGGTGAATAACAGCTGCCAGCCAAAAAAAAATGTAAGCATTTGCAGATAGTTGATTAAATGCTACAAAAGTATTTGAAGAGGAGTTACCAGTGTGAGGCTCGGTGACAATGGAGGAGTGATGATGGGAATGATAACGAGAGTATAGAAAATGATGATGCAGAGCTCTGTGTAGCCAATAATAGAGGAACTCTACAGGACCGGTATGAATCAAGGCAGTTATAATGATCCCATCAATCCTCCAAAGAGGCAAGTGATGAGTCTCTGCGAACTTCAGGTATCCAATGTAGAACACCACTCCATTAAGTATAATTTGATCATCCCTATAAAAAAAAATCCAACCTTAATCAATCATGTCATGTACAATTTATTTTGCATCCATCTTCTTTTAGTTTTGTTAGATCCCTTTGGATCCTGTTGAAAGTACTCCCCAAACCATGGTTAGACACATGCAACCTAGTTGGATATGCATATCAAGAATGGGGATGCTTGAACGCGAAAAAAGGTGGGAAGTATACGTACCAGTTTGTTTCTCTGTCAACTTGATCAAATTCGATGCTTCTATCAAGAATCCGATTATCACCCTTAGCAGACCTGTAGCGAGATAGGGATATCCACATTTGGTGGTGAACCATTCTCATGACTATATAGAGGAATATGAATATGTATGAAAAGTCCCTCTGGCTTTCTTCTTTGCTCATGAAGAATGAGTATATGCTATGACCCACAAATGGTGCCAATACCAAGTACTTCATCCCAACAATTAAAAAAAAAAAAAAAAAGTTAAAAGAGTTAAGCAAAAGGTGTTGGATGATGAAGCTATAGTAACTTCATCATCCAACACAAGATCGTTGATTCGAAAAAGATACAGAAGGAAGAAAAGAAAACACAAAGCTAATTAAATGCATTAAGCTTGTCGAAACGAACATGCACAATCATCTTGTTCTGTTGTATCAATGAAGGAACATGTATTCCAACAACAGAAAAAGAAGTACATATATACTGTAAACATAACATATTTTGACTGGAAAAAATAGTTGGAAATTCAATAAAAGAGTACCTTAAAGTTGCCAAGGGATGCCCAAGGCCATTCTGTAAGGATGCCAGGTTTAGTAGCCATTCTTTAATTTGTGTTATCTTAAAATCCCATGCTTCCACTGCCTTGTGTGTGTGTATATATATATAGAGGGAATGCCAACCTTCTTAATCTATATTCCCTTAGGGGAATATTAATGCGAAGAATAATATCAAATAGTCCTGAGATTAAATTATAGTACCACTTAATTTGTTATTTGGATGGTAAGTTCGGGATATCTTATCTCGAGATTAATAATTAGTACCAGATAACTTATCCTAGGATTAAAATAAGTAAATGATAAAAATATCCCTTTAAACCCTTTTTATACATCACTTTTCACATCTTGAAGGGTATTTTTGTAAACAAAATTGTTATTAAGATTTATTATATTGAATACAACAAACCAAACACTCAGTAAAAAATAATAATAGCATAACTTATCCCATCGTAACTAATCTCATCTTAACTTATTCCATCATAACTAATCCCATCGTAACTAATCTCATCTTAACTTATTCCATCATAACTAATCCCATGATCATAACTTGAATTCAAACCAAATCATCCCATGATAGTTAACTATGCAGGAACAAATCATCCCATCTAACTACAAGTACGATTTATGTTTTTTTCTTTTCTTATTGCTCTTCCCCGTTTCAATTTATATGACATAATTTGACCTAGAACATAATTTAAGTATAAAATGATGTCCTTTGTAACTTGTAGTTACAGTATTTTGTGTCTATAATTAAAAACATGTCATTAAGAGTTTTTTGTTTTCAAATATAAAATTTTATCATTACCCTTCGGGATGGCCAAGTGGTTTGGGCTTGAGACCACCAACAAATTTACCTATTGCAGATTACCTCAACCGTGTGATTTGCGAGCTTGCGGGTTTGCTTTCATATAAAAAAATATAAAATTGTATCATTCGTATAAACTAATAAGGAAATAATTTCACTTTATGAAGCAGAGGAAGTATGAAAGTCAACGATGTTGTAGTCCTAATTCAAATGTGAAATAACATAGGAGTGTGTTTTGATGGGACCGTGTGACTAGGGCGGCAAATGGGCGTAAAAAACAGGTTGGATAACTGACGGGCGGGTTGAATATAGGTAAATTTTATGTATTCATGTATATATATTTATTTTGAAACCCAAGCAAAGTGTGGCGTAGTGGTAAATTTCTTTAAAAATTGACCCTCTAATCCCATTGTGAACATGAACAATTTTTCACGTTTTTTTTTTCGGAATTTATTATAAAAGAAGTGGAAAAATAATAAATTTAAACCCAAAAAAATCGAAGGGTCCATTTCCGAAAGCTAAAAATCACTTTTCATCTTCCCAAATTCCTAAATCACTTCATTAGTTCTCCCACCAAGATTCAAGAGCCAAATATTAAATCACGTTTCAGGTCTCTTGTAACGGAACTAACTTTTTGTATCTATAAACTATATATTACTACTTTCTTGAAATTGTGTTTTGTTGGCTTATTCACACGTTTATCCTTTTATTATTTTTCAAACATCCTAAATGAAAATTTTAGATCCGCCAGTTCTTGCGGTAGAACATTTCTTTCACTATTATTAATATATAGTTCGTGTATAAATCAAATTAATATTGTTATTCTGCGTCAGCAGAAAAATTCTGATAATATTAACTTTGATCATCTTAAATTTCATCATTTCCGTGTATTATGTGATTTGTCCTCTTAATATTTCTCACATTTCTATGAAGTTGAAGTTGAAGTTGAAATTATAATCATTTTTGTAAATAAATAGCAAGTGCAAAATTTTAAGATAATCTATTTATGCATTTAAGGGTGTTGTTTAGTTATCAATAAAATGATTGAGAACTATGACGTCTTAAGAGTTAACTGGTACGTGTTAATGCTGGGAGGTGACAGTTATCCTGTGAAATTAATGAAGGTGCACGGAAATTGGCTTGAAAACCATGGTCATTAAAATATTTATGTTGAAATTCAAAATTTGTTCTTGATTAACTATAAATGACTACTCAATAGTCAATACTCCATTGATGAACTTTCTAGAATAGTCAACTTTCTAATAAAATATTATAGAGAAAAATGCTCTAATCAACGCAATGTAAACCGCACCCAGCCCCTTTTTACCCATTTTACTGCAGGTTGATAATGGGTCGATCCATATGTAAAATGGGTTGGTTAAATAGGGGCGGGTACTTAGGGTGGACCAGGCAAAAATGAATTAGAATTGCTATCATTAAAGTGTGACCAATTAGGGGATAATTAACTAGGAGCTACCTCTACGAATATATTGTGCTAACTAATTGAGCTATTAATGTGTGTGACACTCATATGGTGTTAAAGTTAGCTCATAAAATTATAACCCGTTCATATTTAAACAGAATAATTTACTTATTTTATTAACTAGGTTTATTTAGATTGTTTAGTTTAGCCTACTTTAAAATTGAGTTGATATGCAACCAGCAACATAGATTGATCCATGAAAAGACCATTTTATTAGATACTCATAATAAAAGGAAGAAAATTTTATTAAATACTCACACAAATTTTGAATTTAACACTTAGTATATTAAAAATTTGTTAGTAGTTTCTTTCTATGGTCCCCCTGCTTAATCAAGCATTTTTACATAAATTGGGATGAGATGATTATTGAAACATGTGAACAAAAATTTACCTGATACAATTATACTAAGCTTACTCGTTAAAATGTTGTTTTGATAAAATAAAAATTTATTATTTATCGTGTAAATGAGGGGTAGATCTGTCAAAAGTGAGAATTCTCTTTGGTGGTGTAATTAATTATTTTTAGAGTTTCATTTGGTTAATTTGAGCTTGAGGGATGAACATCTGGTCATTGCATTGAAGAAGATAACGGTGATACCCAAAAATGGATTCAAACATTTGAAGTTTCTTGACTTATTCAATAACTTTCAATTAATATACGAAAATAATTAAATTCACAGTCAAATATTTATAAATATCTAATATACATATATACAATTTGAGCAAAAGTTTCTAAATTCCTATGAAATTTGTACCCGACACATTGCATTCACTCCTAAACATGGTACCAGTGTTTTTTGAAGTTAACAAATTTAGAACATTCCACGTAATTCAAAAGTAAATTTTATTATTTTTTTTTAGGAAAAAGGCCACGTATGGACATGCGACACCAAAGTGCTAAACACTATTAATAGACAACATATATCTGACCCGATCTATTAATATAGGTCTAGATCTTACCCTACTCTAGTTCAAAAGTGCAAATTTAATCTTTAATCCCTATATTTGTTTGTGTAAGAACTTAAGAAATGTGAAAAAATCAATTTAATCTTAAATTGACTGTAACTCCGTCCTAATGCGTGTCTCTTTTGCATCTGAGCCACATCAATTCAATTTATCTCCACAAAATCTCCTTTCTGATAAGAAGTTTCAAGAAATTCATATTTTATTTCCTTATATCTTATTATGAAAGTTAAAAATTGTAGCCTGTTATTCATAATTAATAAGTTATAATTCGAAAAAATTTAATTTTTAATATCTCAATTGGTTTGTTATATCTAAATTTTCACATTATTAATAAATATTCGATTCCCACCTTATAATTTTCTCGTCCATTTCTTTTTAGACTGTGAATTTTCCTTTCTTTATGGGACCATGGGATAAGCAACTTGCCAATTACGACATCTAGGATTTATAGTTTAAGCTAATATTAATAATATTAATCAATATTAATTGTGTGTGCATTAATAAAAGGGAGTCACCACCTATTTTTATTAAACTCAATATGTTAGATCAGATTAGGTAAATACCAAAAAAAAATCAAATACAATTGTTATTTTTGGATCAATTTCTGTGGCCTTCTTCTAGTCAATTTTTATAATTAAAAATAATTTAGCTTTAGAGTTTCTATTTTATTTTTAATAAAATGATTTATAGACACACAAAATTCTATTTTTTGTTTTAAATTATAAATTTCAAAAGTCTTTTTTTATTCTTTTGAACTATATGCCCGGTTAAATTTATTTTTTTTGTTGTGGAAAGTAATACACAAAAATTAAGATAATTTTTTAAAAGTTATTACATACGAGGACCAATCTAAATGATGCAATCCCTAAAAAAAATTATGTGTCATTAATGTCTTAGAACCTCCAAACTAAGTTAGCTAGTGTGTGATTATAAATTGGGACAAAGTAATTATAATTATTGAACGTAAAAATTCCATTCAAACCTCCTTTAAATATTTTACATTACATTCTCAGTTCTTTCCTTTTACAAAATTTATTACTAGAAGCTATTATCTTTAATTTAAATAAAATTACCTAATAATATTTTTTATTTTTTAGAATTTGATTTTAAATAAAGTTTTCATTTAAGCAGATTTTAATGGAAAAAATAATTAAATAGATTGAGTGACTTTTGAAGTAAAAAACAAAGTTGAGTGACTTTATAAGTAAAACATCTATAGTTGAGTGACTTTTGGAGTAAAAATGAAAGTTAAGTGATTTTATGTGATAAAACTCTTTAGTTGATAATCGTTGGGGATTAAATTTATTTTAAATTTACTCGATAAACTAAATATGTTTTATCGGACAAAATTAAACAAGAAGGGAGATTGGTAATGTAATTTAATGAACGTTTGCGTTAAATTTGGTTGAGTTGGGCTGGCCTTGTTAATAGAATAATTTTCACATTTAGTAAACATAAAAATCATATTTGTATGTTATAGTTATAGTTTGCATAATTGCGCTCCATAGCAAACTTTATGTTTGTTATGGAGCATCAGATTGTATAAATCGCTGGGGGCATCATATTTGTATAAAATCGCTGGCATCCTCTCATTTGTATAAATCGTTGGCAGCCTCTCATTTGTATAAATCGTTGGCAGCCTCTCAATTCAATTTTATGTGTTTGTATATCTGCATAAAAATTGAATTTGTATACAATTGAATCGAAATAAAACGTTTGTATATCAAATCTCTCTCTCTCGCTTTATACAAACACAAATTACACATTGTATTTTTGTATAATCTGTATTT